ACCTGGAGGAGCTGGTGGTGTTCAACCCCAGGGCCATCCTCCCATGCTTTGTTGTCGTCTACAAGGCTTAGCTAGCTAGCTTCAATTGGTTACTACAATTTACTACAGTCCATGCAATGGAATGCATGCATGCATCTATTGTTGTATTGTATACACGGAGCAGCAGCAGTAAGCTAAGCTAAGCTAAGCTAGTACTAACTTGATTGTTCTGTCTTCTGAACGAGTTTATTCATTTGAGCAGCAGCAGAGTAGTAGTACTAGGAAGCAAACGTCATCCACTAAGAAGTGTGAGGTAAAGGAGCTCGCTGGTGCAGTGAGTCATGAGTTCATGACAGGTAGTAGAAATCTGCTGTTCCTTGGCCTGCAACTGCAACTGAAGGACAAGATCAGGGAGACATTCAGAGGTTGATTGTCAGCTTTGGCTGGCATGCAGTGTCAACCCAGGAATAAAATAGTACTACGAGGCCAATATACAGATTTGAGCAACCATCCAGAGGGAGCATTAGCGTCTGCCTTTCTCATTGGTTACGGATCATCGGCACAAAGTTCTCTGATAACACAAGAGATACCTTTGACTCGTCTCAAACCATGATCATCTAGGTTGACTAAAGAGTTGGTTTGGGAGCACGTTTTTTTTTTACCCACCAACAGTATCCTGTCCTGTTCGTTCAGCAGCACTTTTTTATACCTACAGGCTACAGCAAATGAAACTACACACCAGCGCAAAGTCAGATGAGAGAGCCGCTTGTGATTGTGACACTGAGATTGCATGCTAACAATAACAGGCTTGTTGAAAAATGGCTTATTCAGCAATGCAAAATCTCAATGTTACATGTATACATTGGCACATCACTAGGGCTCACAAAGTTCCAAGACATTTTTTACATGTCCCATTAAGCAACAATTCATGATGAACCTAATTTATTGATGAATGGTCACTTTTCTTCTTAACTGCTATTTGTGATACTCATGCAAGTGTACTTGATAAATGATTCCATATGTTGGTGGATCATTTGATGAAGCTCCTCAGCACTACATGAAACTCGTGCCTTCAAACAGATCAACAGCAGGTAACCATTATTGTTTTCACAACGAATGCACAGCTCTGGGTACCTTTTTTCACATCTATTGCAAGATTCAGCTTTAGTAGAGTTTGACAATACAGCTTCAGTAACTGTCATCAGCATCGCCGTCAGCCTACCCAGAGCAAGCCGTGCAACGTGTTGAGAGTGACGAGTCAATAAGTCAGGTTTTAACTTTTGGGCTAACCCAAGACAGGAGCGAAGACGGAGAGAGCACGACATCAGACACTTTTGGTACTAATAATAATACGAAAAACAAACCGCCGACAGTAGTACATGCTGCACGAGGATGACCGTCATAATAAAATCCTTCCACAATAGCATCATGAGGGTAGTTAATTGATCCCAGCATCAAAAGATAAATTGCTCTTCCTTCCACCATAGCATCATAAGGTTAGTTAGTTACTTGTCCCATCCCACTTCACAGCATAAGACCATCTGTTCCTACTCCCACTCCACCGTTGCAGGCGGCTTAGATGTGATGTCCTGGCAAACACGGTTTATGCCCCGCACATTGTTGCAGATCTTGTTTACCACATCTACCAGGAATGCATGGTCAAAATAGTACCTGAAATTTTTAAAAAGAGAATGGCTTGATATGAGAAAATATGGATGCAGTCAACTGTTTAAAGACACATTGCCTGCAGTTTACTGCTTAAAACAAACACTATGACAGGGCAACATGAGAACTTAACATGACGGAGAAGATAATTCTATATATTCCAACAATTTGTAATGCGCTCGAAATAAAATTATATCAAGACTAGGCATGCACCATCACAAGGTCAATCTGTTCAACATATTCAAGATGCATTGTAAGAGAGCACCATGAGCACTTTGCAGTTGGAACACAGATTAGATGGCTTGGAATAAGGCAAAACCAAATGGTTGACCTTAGTAGGGAGCACCTAGAGAATTTCGGGTTGGGCAACAAGGGCAACAAGGAAAGAAAAGGGCAAACCACCAAAGAAATGACGGAATCTACTATCTCATGCAAACATTTGTAGATTTTTACAACTGTAACCAATTAGACCATGAATGAATGAGATCCAATTATTGGTTCCCAGACTCTAGAGTGATAAGAGTGTGAAACATTACAGCAACAGACAAAGAAAACTTATCTGTATGACTGGAACAGAATATTAGTACAACATACCTAAAGTTTGCTAGGGGAAAAAAAGTGGAACAGAGTTGGAACTTCACTGGTACATACCAATCTGCAGTCATGCCATCCTCACTGGTGATTGCCCTTAAAACAACAGCATTGGAGTGGGTTCGCTGGTCACCCTGAACCCCAACTGTCTGTACTGGCAAGAACACAGCAAAAGCTTGCCAAATTTTATCATAAAGGCCTGCATCTTTAATAGCTTGAACAAATATCTCATCCACCTGAAAGAAATAAATTGAGAAACTGTGAATTCACATAGTGTATCCAAGGTGATATAGCAACATTTCAACAATTCTGAAAGTTCGAACCTGACGAAGAACCTCCAAAGCATTGCCTTGTGTAACATCACCTAGGACACGTACAGCAAGACCAGGCCCAGGAAATGGGTGCCGCTTCAAAAATGAATCTGGGACATTCAAAATACTCCCCAATTTCCGCACCTACAGACATTAAAAAAAATTGTAAGAGTAATAAAAAATAAAGGTTCCTTGGTTCCTTTCATCATACCACGCCTGAGGCCTGACCATGCAAGAAGCTAAGAAAATTACAAATTATATTATGCAAATTAATTCAAATTGGTACCTCATCCTTGAATAGGAGCTTGAGTGGTTCGATGAGTTTTAACTTCATATCTTTTGGAAGGCCACCGACATTGTGATGGCTTTTGATGGTGTGGGAATGTGTCCTTCCACTCCCAGGAGGCGGGCATGATTCAATTACATCAGGGTACAAAGTCCCTTGAACTAAAAATTCAGGCCTTTTCCCTATCTTCTGCTCCAGCTTGTGAGCAAATTCATCAAAGACAGCTATGAATTCCCTGCCAATAATCTTTCTTTTCTGCTCTGGGTCCTCGACACCCTTCAACTTGCTGAGGAATTGCTCTGACGCATCAACGCATGTAACTGGCAAGTGCAAATCGCTTTCAAAGGTTGTCATTACTCGTTCTCTCTCCTTGTACCTGCAAATGAGGTTGTGTTAGTTTCATTGCACACTGATTTGAGATGCACAAGTTCCATTCAAAAGAAACAGAAATAAGGCAGCATATTGTTACCTCAATAGACCATTGTCAACAAAAACACAATGAAGCCTATCTCCTATTGCCTTGTGAACGAGGGTGGCAGCAACCGTTGAATCAACTCCACCTGACAATGCACAGATAACATGTTCGTCAGGACCAACCGTGCTTTGGATGGTCTTGATTTCTTCATCGAGCACATCTTGCATCTTCCAATCAGCTTTGATCCCACAAACATTAAAGAGAAAGCGGCACAGTGTTTCCATTCCTTGGGCTGAATGTGTAACCTTTACATGAGAAAGTTCAATACAGTCATGCTATGGCATCAACAGATCCCCAAAGAGCAACCAGATGGTATGCGAAGACAAAGCACGATGCTGTGGATACATAATCAACAGTAATAATACCAGAAGAAAGGGCAGAGCATGCAAAAGATCATTTCTACTGGCGAGAGAGAATTAAACTACTGAGCTGATGTTGCTCCATAGGATGAATGAACGAAATAAATGAGCAGTGGTCTGAACCAAGAAGACCAATATTTGATTCAAATAAAAAAACAATATCTATGCCGGTGAACTGATGAAGCAGTTATATAGGCCTGGAATGGTCAAACAGCACCATTTACTGTAGCATGGCAAAATTTGTAGCTTCCCGTAGAATGACGTTCATCATAGTAAGTAATCAGACACAACGGTTGCTACCTCTGGGTGGTATTGGAGCCCATAAAAGCGCATCTCCCGGTACTCGATGGCGGCGACGGCGCCCTGCACGCTGCGCGCAACCACCTCGAAGCCTTCGGGCAGCCTGACCACCTCGTCGCCATGGCTCATCCACACCGTCTGGCGCTTCCCCGTCTCAGCCTCCCCGTATAGCGCGGAGGAGGCCGCTGTCACCTCAACGTCCATCTTCCCGTACTCCTGGCGCTCCCCGGGGACGACGGCGCCGCCGAGGGACTGCACGAGGAGCTGCATCCCGTAGCAGACGCCGAGCACGTGCGCGCCCGCGGCGGCCGCGAAGTCCAGGAACCCCTCGGGAAAAGCAGGCGCCCCGGCGGCGTGGACGGAGTGGGGCCCGCCGGAGAGGATGACGGCGCGCGGTCGGAGGCCCTCCAGGGAGGCGAGCGGCGCCGTGCCGGACACGCAGAGGGAGAGGACGCCGAGCTGGCGCACGCGGCGGGTGATGAGGTGGGTGTACTGCGAGCCGTAGTCGAGGATGAGGACGAGGTTCTCGCCGGAGCCGGCGGACACCGGGAGCACGGAGGCGGCGGCAGTGGAGCCCATGGCGTTTGGCGGCTGGGAGCAGAGGGGGTTAGGGTTTGGGTGCGCGCCAATTGCTGTGGGTGTTCGTGCCGAAGCGTGTGTGTGGATTGTGTTTCCTAACTATAAAGATGGGGGAATGGGAGACTGGTCCAAGCCCAGCAAGTAAGCTCAACTGGGCCGTCCTGCGCTGTCAAGGTTGCCCGGGCCCCGAGCTGGTTTGGAAATTGGGGCCTCTGGGCCTTGGGCCTTGGGCCTTGGGCCTGGGCCAACCAAGGACGGCGCCTAGGAAAGCGATACGGACACGAATACGGAAGGGTTACGAAACCGAAACCGTGTCGGTCAGACGGCTGCGCCCACCGTAATCTAATCCCTGGTGCACCAGAGAGATGTATCCTGTAGGAGTCAGAGCAGAGCCTGGCAGTCCCAAGATCAAGATCCCCTTTTGCCACCAACCCCGCACGCGCAGCGCAGACGCAATGGCCTCCGCCGCCGCAGCTCGTGGTGGCACGTCCATGTCCATGTCCAATCCAGCAGCAGCCGAGGCGGAGGGGATGCAGAGGGTGCGGCGGAAGAAGGACTTCAGGCACATGGAGCGCGTGGACGGGCGCATGGTGAACGTCCTCCAGGGCCTGGAGCTGCACACGGGCGTCTTCTCCCCCGCCGAGCAGCAGCGCATCGTCGACTACGTGCATGACCTGCAGGACAAAGGCCGCCGCGGCCTCCTCGGAGGTAGTAAGCGCACGTACTCGGAGCCCCGCAAGTGGATGCGCGGCAAGGGCCGCGCCACCATCCAGTTCGGCTGCTGCTACAACTACGCCACGGACCGCGACGGCAACCCGCCGGGGATCATCCGCCGCGAGGAGGCGGACCCGCTGCCGGCGCCGCTCAAGTCCATGGTCCGTCGCCTCGTGTCGTGGAGCGTCCTCCCGCAGGACTGCGTGCCCGACAGCTGCATCGTCAACGTCTACGACGTGGGCGACTGCATCCCGCCGCACGTGGACCACCACGACTTCGCCCGCCCCTTCTGCACCGTCTCCTTCCTCGCCGAGTGCGCCATCCTCTTCGGCAGGGACCTCAGGGTGGTCAGCCCCGGCGAGTTCGCCGGCCCGGCCTCCATCTCGCTGCCCCCGGGCTCCGTCCTCGTGCTCGCCGGAAACGGCGCCGACGTCGCCAAGCACTGCGTCCCCGCCGTCCACGCCAAGAGGATCTCCATCACGTTCCGCAAGATGGACGCCGCCAAGCTCCCGTTCGGCTTCAGGCCCGACCCGGACCTGCAGAACCTCAAGCCCCTGCCTCTTCTTGCTCCTGTTCCTGTTCCTGTTCCTGTCCATGTCCGGCCGGTGGTGCCCAGCAACGACGACAGCCCGTCGTCGACGAGCAGCAGCAGGCCCCACCAACAGCAGCTGCAGCAGTCGGCTAGTTCCATTGTGAGACAGGGGATTGCTACAAGAGCGCAAGCAAGCCCCGCCGCCACCGCTGCTGCTCCGATGAGACAGAACGGCGGCGCGTTCAGCCTGTCCTCCGATGACTTCCCGGCCCTCGGTGCTTCGAAGCCGGCAAAGGCACCGGCAACGGCAGTGGCTAGCAGGGGAAGCAGAGGAAGGCGATAGAGATAGAGATTAGTACCTATATTCTTGTTAGACATTTTGTCAATTCATGCATTCTTTGTACAAGTACTCGTATACCTACCTCAAAGAAGACGGAACGGTGTTGTTAGGCTTGATCGTTCACCTGTTACCTGTAACAACTGACCGGAGTTATATTGGTTTGATCTTTATTACTCGATCACATCACTAGTTCCTGTGCTTCATTCATACTGTAGACATGGAACAAGATAGTACGGTTGAGTTAGTTTTTTTTACAGCGTACGGCACCATCGGGTATCGATATTAGCGATACCCAAAGCAAGTAAGTTAGCACCCACGTTGACTTTGTTGGATGGCTCGAGACATGTTAAAAGGTCTCGCTCGATCCCAAGGCCGCGGGCTCCGTCTCGCCCGACCCCAAGGACGTGGGTTCCGTCTCGCTCGACCCCTTGGGTGCGGGCTCCTTCTCGCTCGATGCCAAGGACGCGATTTTCGTCTCGCTCGACCCAAGGACGCGGGTTCCGTTTCGCCCGACCTCTTGGGTGCGGGTTTCGTCTCGCCCGACCCTAAGGACGCGGTTTCCATCTTGCTCGACCTCGAGGACGCGGGTTCCGTCTCGCCCAAGGTCTCAGGCTCCGTCTCGCCCGACCTCGAGGACGCGGGTTCCGTCTCGTTCGACGGGGACTCATACCGCCGTCAACCACTCCAGGTCCAAGCGTGTGGGCTTGGGTCAAAACTCTGACGCTAGAAAAGAGGCTGACACGCCTCGAAGTAACTCGTGGCCATGACGGACCATACTTGGAGATTCACATCAAGAACAGTGTCGGACATGCCGGTGTTGCTCGGCCTAATCCTCGTACGGACGCTGACAGGCGCGTCAGTTCACCACGACGTCCGCTGGGACGGAGTGGAACGCCATGACCGGCAGATGACGCCTGCGTACGAACAGGACCGCGACATGAAGCCGTCCATGTTGACATCTACAGGATCGGTGGGACCCGCATGAAGGAGAAGAAGGATCCGGCAACCCTGAATGTCTTATTCTCTCATTCTTCTCTTTTCCCCCTCTGTAACCCGCGCTTTTCCCTTCGTCTATAGAAGGTGAAGCAGGGCATCCCACACTAAAAAGACACACCAGATCTAAACACAAGACCACGACACGAGCATACGGCTGAGCGGCAATCGAGCTCTCAGCACCCGTTCACTCCTTCCATCAGAGACTTAGATCATTTCCTTCTCTCGTCTGTTTGTAACCCCTACTACAAACCAAGTATCGGTAACACGAGTAGCAGCGAACTGGACGTAGGGACGTTCCGCCTGAACCAGTATAAACCCTTGTGTCCTCCGAGCACACCATCAAGCCAGACGCACAAATACAAATTTACTCGTCGATGGTCCGAAAACACCGACAGTTGGTGCACTAGGTAGGGGCTTTTTGCATGTCTCAACATCCACATCAGGCCTCGAATGGCTAGTCACGGCGTCAGCTGGGTCCCGGACGCGCACGTGCGCCTTAGGAACCTAGACTTCATCATTACGACGGAGGGAGAGTTAGCGCAGGTTTCCGCCGCCGTCCAGCCTCTCCACTCCGCCGGCCTCGACGCGATCGTCGAGACGCTTGAGGAGCCGCTGCTGCACGCACCGGAGGCCCATGTGAAAGGTCCTAATATGGCTAAAGAGGGAGTGAATAGCCTATTAAAAAATCTACAAACCAACTAGAGTAATTTGATTAGTATAACAAATAGCGAAATGCAAACTTGCTCTAGCTCTACAAGGGTTACAAGCCACCTATCCAACAATTCTAGTTGCTATGATCACTAGACACACAATTTACTATGTTACTACTCACTAAGAGCTCTCACACTTGCTACACTAAAGAGCTCCACTAGATAAACTTAAAACAACAAAGCAAGCTCTCAATTCTAATTACACTAAATAGCTTGCTACAACTAGTTTGCAAGAATATAAATGAGTGAGTAGGGTAATTATATCGTCGTGTAGAGGAGTGAACTAATCACAAGATGAATACTTAATCAATCACCGGGAGAATACCAAAGGGCAAGAGACAACCAATTTTCTCCTGAGGTTCACGTGCTTGCCAACACGCTACGTCCCCATTGTGTCGACCAACACTTGGAGGTTCGGCGGCTAAGAGGTGTTGCACGAACCTCGTCCACACAATTGGACACCGTAAGAACCTACCCACAAGTGAGGTAACTCAATGACACAAGCAATCCACTAGAATTACCTTCCAGCGCTCCGCTGGGGAAGGTACAAATTCCCTCACAATCACCGGAGATGACCACGTACAATCACCAACTCATGCCAATCCTCCTCCGTTGCTCCAAGGCATCTAGGTGGTGGCAACCACCAAGAGCAACAAGCGAATCCCGCAGCGAAACACGAAAATCAAGTGCCTCTAGATGCAATCACTCAAGCAATGCACTTAGATTCTCTCTCAATCTCTTAAAGATGTTGAATCAATGATGGAAATGAGTGGGAGGGCTTTAGCCTAACTCACAAGGTTGCTATGTCAATGCCAATGGCCAAGAGAGTGAGCTAGAGCCGGCCTTGGGGCTTAAATAGAAGCTCCCACGAAATAGAGCCGTTGTACCCCTTCACTGGGCAAAACTCGGGGTGACCGGACGCTCCGGTCAGATCGACCGGACGCAGGACCCCAGCGTTCGGTCGCCCGAAGCTTACCCCGTGTCATCAGCTTCAAACGCTGATCGCCAAATCTCAACGGTCAAGTGATGACCGGACGCGTCTGTTAGAAAGTGACCGGCCGCAGGACCCCAGCGTTCGGTCGTTTCCAGTAAGGTTCCAAACGTGAAATTTCACGACCGGACACACCCAGCGTTCGGTCACTCAATGTCTCCTCTGTGCGCCCCACGTCAACGTACGTCAGCAGTGACCGGACTCAAACCCTGAGCGTCCGGTCAGTTTTCGCACCAGCATTCGGTCACAAGACCGAGACGTCGTGCTCGCTGCTGTCACTAACCGGACGCTGAACCTAGCGTCCGGTCACTGCGTGACCAGTGTCCGGTGCATTCCGTGAAACCCTATTTTTCTGTCTAGGGCGCCAGTGGCACCGTCGGACTGTCTGCACTCTACGGGCGGACACTCCACCGGTGAAGTTTCTTACCCTTGCTCCCAAGTGCTAAACACAATGTGTATCACCTTTGTGCATGTGTGTTAGCATATTTTCACAAGCATTTTCAAGGGTGTTAGCACTCCACTAGATCCTAAATGCATATACAATGAGTTAGAGCATCTAGTGGCACTTTGATAACCGCATTCCGATACGAGTTTCACCCCTCTTAATAGTACGGCTATCGAACCTAAATGTGATTACACTCGCTAAGTGTCTTGATCACCAAAACAAAATGGCTCCTACCATTTATACCTTTGCCTTGAGCATTTTGTTTTTCTCTTTCTTGTTTTCAAGTCCAAGCACTTGATCATCACCATGGCATCACCATCATTATGATATGATCTTCATTTGTCTCATCACTTGGAATGTGCCACCTATCTCATAATTACTTTGATAAACTAGGTTAGCACTTAGGGTTTCATCAATTCATCAAAACCAAACTAGAGCTTTCACCATGCCCCCACAAGTGACCAGCACCTCGGCTTCGATTACGGGAGGCTTGAGCGCCAGCTCGGCGCCTTCCTGGGACCCCGACCGTCCTGGGAGGACCTGCGCCGCCTCACCTTCTCGTTCGCCAATGTCATGACGTAGCTTGCCGGAGGAGAGCCGCTCTCCCCGAAATACCTCATCTGAAGCGCCCCGATAGCGCTCTCGTTCGGTCTGTGCCACGCCGTAGAGACCATTGGCCACCTTTTGACGCAGCGCACACCCCTATCCCCTATGAACGACGAGATCATGGGGATGACCGAATACATCACAGAATCTTTCCATGACCTGCTCGTGGGAGAATCAGAGTCACCCTCTGACTCTGACTCCAGCAGGGGGAGCCATCACCCCTCACGAGAATGTTTTATGGTAGGTACCCCCGAGGGATACGTCGAAAGCATCCACGAAGGAGGGCTACCCCAACAGACGACCTCGACGACAAGGTTGAGGGGGACACAGGGGCCCTACCTCGCCTACAGGTAGAGCAGCCGAGGACACGACACCAAGAGCTCGAAGAAGCATAACTCTAGCTCGAGCAGGAACGCGCGTAGCTCGAGCGAGAGATCGAGCGCCACGGAGATGGTGGGCGTGCCCGCGCCGTGGCCCGCGACGTGAACTAGAGGATCATCAGGGATGACAAAGCCCTCCCACACTTCACCCGGGCAAGCCAGAACATCGCTGCCACGGTGGCTTTGCTCTAAGGGCTTCCGGTGCCCATGATGCCCGAGGATCGTCGGGCCCATCACGAGATTCGCACGCTACTCGAGCATGTGGCAGCACAGCAGGCCGAGAGCTCACTGTCCTGACGACGCGAGCTCGGTGCCAGCCAGCGCGTGCCCTCTGAGCGACCCAACAGGGACGTCTCAGTCCACTAGGCGCAGCGAGGCGGCAGGCCGTGCACCGCAGCCCCGGTGCATGAGCGTCTTGGCCTCCACCATGACGCACGCAACACCCTGGATGCTCGTAGACGTGCCCATGGGGGCAAGAGGGAGGAGGCTAGCCATGGCTACCACCCTCGTCGTGGTGGACACTACAATAGCAGTGAGGACCGAAGCCTGAGCCCTGACTTGCCGAGACCTCAGGCCTTTGGCCGACACATCCTCAACACCGTCTTCCCACCGTGGTACCGACCACTGACCAACATCCCGAAATACTCTGGTGAAACAAACCTCGGACTGTGGCTTGAGGATTATCGGCTTACTTGCCAAGCTGGTGGAGCGGATAGTGATAATTTTATTATCCGCAACCTTCTATTGTTCCTGGCCGATTTGGCGCGAACGTGGTTGGAACGCCTTCCGCCCAACCGAATCCAAAGTTGGGTGGAGCTAAAAGAGATCTTCGTGGAAAACTTTCAGGGCACATACACGTGTCCTGGGAACCCATG